ACTGGAAACATAAGCAATTTCCAGGGAAGGGAACTGGGTAGGTGGAGTGTGTGTATATGGCGGGTAGTGGGGGTTATACTTACCTCAAAGTATCACTTTAGCTCTATACTTTTTTGATATGTAATCATTCGAATGCTCTTCAGTTCAAAATATTTTCTGTTTCATTATGATTTCCTTTCTAACCCATCTGTTGTTTAGAGTGCATTTTTTAGTTTCCAAACTTTTGGAAGTTTGACATTCAATTTAATTGCCATGGGAACAGAGAATGTGGACATTATTATTTTATCTCTTTGAAAATATTGTGATCTAACATATGATCACTTTTTAAGTGTTCCACATGTATCTGAAAATAATGTGTATTCTTTATTTAATGGATACAGCATTTTATATAGATTTTAAAGTGTTTAATGTTTTTGTTTAAATTTAAATTCTAAATATTTTTGTCAATTTTATATAACATTTTTAAAAGATCAGTTAAAATTTTCCATTATAACAATTTTTTCCCATTTTTTCTAGTAATTTAGTCAGTTTTGCTTTCTATATTTTGAGGTTACATTGGTAAGGTCATATAAGTTTACTACTATACATTTTTAGAAAATCATTTCTTTTAATGTTCTATACCACCCCTTTGTTGCTATTACTTTTTTTTTACATTAAACTCTATTTTGTCTGACTTAAGTAGTATAATCTCAGCATTATTCTTGTTATTATTTATATGATATTGTTTATCTTTTTCTCTACCTTTACTATAATTTTGCTATGTGGCTTTGACAATATGCCCCAGAATTTTAAAAACTTTAATCTGATAATCCCTACCTCTTTATCAATGAATTTATTCCATTTACATTTATTGTAATTACTGATGTGCTTGAAACAATTTCTACCATTTTATTTTGCACTTTCTATTTGCCATTCCTTTTCTTTGCTTCCTTTTTTCCTTCCATTTATTCTGTTGCATTGATAAAGTTTTCTATATTTACTCTTTTCCCTCTCTGTCAGTATGAAAGCTGTAGGCTTTATTTCTATTCCTTATTGTTACCTTTATAATTCACACAAAATAAATCTGAAGTCATTCCATACTTCTGTGCTCATTTAAATCATGAAAAGAAATATAAACACATTGTAATTATCATCTTACTTATGTTGTTACTGTCAACTAAGTTTTATCTCTTCTTTAAAAATTAATAATTTTTGGCCAGGCGTGGTGGCTCATGCCTGTAATCCCAGCATTTTGGAAGGCTCAGGTGGGCAGATCACTTGAGGCCAGGAGTCTGAGACCAGGCTGGCCAACATGGTGAAACCCCGTCTCTACTAAAGATACAAAAATTAGCCAGTTGTGGTGGCACATGCCTGTAATCCCAGCTACTCGAGAGGCTGAGACAGGAGAATCCCTTGAACCCAGGAGGTAGAGGTGGCAGTGAGCTGAGATAATGCCACAGCACTCCAGCCTGGGTGACAGAGTCAGATTCAAGAAGAAAGAAAGAGAAAGAAAGAAAGAAAAGAAAGAAAGAAAAAGAAAGAAAAAGAAAGAAAGAAAGAGAAAGAGAAAAAGAAAGAAAGAAAGAAAGAAAGAAAGAAAGAAAGAAAGAAAGAAAGAAAGAAAGAAAGAAAGAAAGAGAAAAAGAGAGAGAGAGAAAGAAAGAAACTAATTTTTAGACTTCATAATTAAATTTACCAAATGGATGATCAAGCCCTCATTGTTTCTTGACTCCTATGCCTTCCCTTTTAGTTAATTTTTCTTCTTGTGGAAATATATACATTAATAATTTGTTAAATGAATGTCTGTGGGTAATATATGTCTTCTAATTTTTATGCACCAAAACATTTCTTAATGTAGCTGGAAATAAAATCTTAGGTTGTCATTTATTTTCCGTCATTACCTTGAACATATTTGTCTACAGTGAGAAGCATTACAGAGCAGTAACTGTGAGCATTTGGAGTCAGATCAGCTCAGTTTGAGTCCCAGCTTCTCTACTTAATAGATGCGAGACCTTGGACAAGAACCATTAAACTTCCTTTTGGCTCAGTTTCCTCAACTGTAAAAAGGGGATAATAAGAATCCCATCTCACAGAATTGTTGTGAAGATTAAATTAGTTAATATGCATGAAGTACTTTGCATTATGCCTGGGACATAGTACCATTCAAGTGTTAGCTGTTGTCATTACTATCTCTGACTTCATTGTGGCTCATGAGAAAATTACCTTCAGTCTAACTGTGGTTCATTGTTAGATAATCTAATTCTTCTCTCTGATTGCCTTTAAGATTTTCTTTATTCGCTCAAAATACACTTTCAGCCTGAGAGTTTGGTCTTTCTACCATTCTGGAAAGTTTTTAACCATCATTCTTTTATTATTTTTTTATTTACTCTCTTTCTCTGTAACTTCCATGTGCTGTAAGTTGTAGCCTCTCCAATTATTCTCCATCTTTCTCAATTGTTCTTACATAATTTTAAACTTTGGCTCTCTGTGCCATATTTTTGGGTGAACTCTCTGGTATCATCTTTCAATTCAATTATTTTTATGACTGTACCAAGTCTGAAATTTTGTCCAATCTATTAGACTTTTTAAAACTTCAGGAACTGTATTTTATATTTCCAAGATTAATAATTGTTTCTTTTCCATATTCTTTTTTTTTTTTTTTTAGATGGAGTTTCGCTCTTGTTGCCCAGGCTGGAGTGCAATGACATGATATCAGCTCACCACAACCTCTGCCTCCCGGGTGCAAGCGACTGTCCTGCCTCAGCCTCCCGAGTAGCTGGGATTACAGGCATGCACCTCCACACCGGCTAATTTTGTATTATTAGTAGAGATGGGGTTTCTCCATGTTGGTCAGGCTGGTCTCCAACTACTGACCTCGGGTGATCCACCCGACTCAGCCTCCCAAAGTGCTAGGATTAGAGGCATAAGCCACCACACCTGGCCATATTCATTTTTTTAAAAGTTCATTTCTTGGCTAATATGGTGAAACCCCATCTCTACTAAAAATACAAAAAAAAAAAAAAAATTAGCCAGGTGTAGTGGTGGGCGCCTGTAGTCCTAGTGACTTGGGAGGCTGAGGCAGAAGAATGGTGTGAACCTGGGAGGCGCAGCTTGCAGTGAGCCAAGATCATGCCACTGCACTCCAGCCTGGGTGACAGAGCGAGACTCCTTCTCAAAAAAAAAAAAAGAAAGTTCGTTACTGTCTATTTTTGTGTCACATTTTATACTCTTATTTATTTCACATCTTATTCCTTCACTTTCTATTTTAAATACCTGGAACACATTTATTTTTCAATTCTTTTTCAGATTGTTTTACTATTTTAGTTTCACTTGAAGCAAAAAAATCTATCAATATTGATTAGCTCTTATCCCTTGGAGATAGATTTCTTTTTATCTTTTGGACTTTTAGTTTTCAGGTTTACTTAAAGCTTTATCCTTTACTGTCTTCTCTCTTTTCCTCTTTTTCTGTCTATTCTTCTTTTCTTATCTAGGAGTTTTGAGTTTCCTCTATCAGCCTGCCTGCTAATTGAACCTTATATTGATTATGGTAGCTCTTGCCTATTGGCAATGTGGGTGCCTTAGTGAACAAGTGGCTTGGTTCAGGTCCTGCTTCTTGTTCTGTCTTGATCACTGTCCACCTAGTCCCTCAGCTTCACATAAGCTAAAACCTCAAGTAGTTGTTTGTAGGCGCTTTTAGCAATCTCTTGTCCTAAGTGGAGAATGTACCAGTCTTAGTTTCAGTCCTGAACCCTGTCTCACCTACAGCATATTCAGTTCCTGTTTCCTTGGAGCCAGATTAGCTTAGCTACACCCAGAAGCCAAAGTCTTGCCCACAAACTGCTGTATGTTTCTCTTCTGTTTCTGGTCTGCAAAACTGACTATCTCATTTGTGAGCTCAGTTATACCCTTTTTACATGCTCCATTAAAAAAATATTATCTATAGCTACTACATATTTATGGCAGAATGGGTGACACAAATGTGTATTTACACAAATGCTGTCTTGACCAGAAGTACTTTTCTGATTTTTTAACACAATGGACAATTGCTTCTATGTTACAATAAATGCCAGGATAAAAGAACCATATCCATGAACATTATTTGTGACCCAGGTGGACATTGTTTTCTTGTTCTGGTGAAGGTGGATACCAGGATGCTGTGAGTTGAAGACTAAGAACTGGAGCCACCAAGAGGATGCCACTCTTGCAAAGATGGTTCCCCAGGAAAGAGAGGAAACAGATCATGGGAAGCTCTGTTTTGTTGAATCAGAGAGATTTTAATATGTTTATAATCAGATAATAAAAAGCCAGAATAGGGAAAGCAGCTGGAAGGTGGCACAGATTAGTGATTAAGAATATAATCTTCTGAGTCAGCTAGACTTGGTTTGAAGAGGAGCTCTGCCCTTCACTGTGTAACTTAACATTCCCATCTGTAAAGTGGGGACAGCAATGGGATCTACCTCATGGGGCATCAAGAGGATTAAATAAGAAACTGTATGTGATTAATTTAGCACAAACACTAACACTTAGTAAACATATAAAAGCTCTTAACCACAATTATAACTGCTGTAATTGGTTACTTTCATGTGTCAACTTCGCTTGGCCATAGTGCCCAGCTATTTGGGCAAACACCAGTCTGGACATTGCTGTGACAGTATTTTAAAGGTGAGATGAGCATTTGAAACAGTAGATTTCGAGTAAAGCAGATGATTGTCTATCACATCAGTGGGCCTCCTCCAATTAGCTGAAGCCTTAAGAGGAAAAGACTAAGGTCCTTCAAGCAAGAGGATATTCTGTCTCCAGACTGCCTTCAGACTTGAGCTACAACATCAAGTCTTCCCAGGGTTTCCAGACTGCTGAGCTGCCCTGCAGAATTTAGACATGCCAGCCCCACAATCACATAAGCCAATTCCTTAAAATCTGTGTATCTATCTATCTATCTATCTATCCATTCATCCATCCACCCATCTATCTACCCATTCATCTACCTACCTATCATCTATCCATAGATCTGATCTATCATCTTTCTTTTTTTTTTTTGAAATGAAAGGCCTCACATATTTATTACTGAACCCAGCCAACCAACACATTCATAATAGATTCAGAGAGGAAAACAGGTCCAACTCTCCAGATAGTGGTGACATTTTCAGTTTGATATGGTAATGTGATCGTGACCTTCAGACAGCACAAATATGTGTGCCATCTCATGTGCAATTCCTTACAGACCTAGCTTGGTTCTTCTCCAATGTCTCCTTTTGGAGTTGTACCTGATTTTATTTCCAGTTTTCATCCAAATCCACTGGGGAATGGGACGATTTTGCTTTTGTTTCTTGGCCAGGAATTGCTTAATCCTGAAAGTCTTGTGAGAAGACATGGCGAGAAGCAGAGGCAAGAACACACCACGATGGCGGAGAAAGGAAAAGAGTAATCTATCATCTTTCTTATCTGTTTTGATATCATCTATCTTTCTTATCAATCTATCCATTCGTCCATCTATCTAATCTATCTATCCATCAATCATCTTTCTTATCTATCCATTTATCTATCTGTCTATCTATCTCTCATCTTTCTATCTTCTATGCAATCTATAAATCTATATGTCTTTTGTATCTATCTGTTTTATCTATTTCTTATCTATGTATATATCTATCTATCATCTCTTATCTATCTATCTATCTATCTATCTATCTACCTACCTATCTATCTATCATCTACCTATCCATCCATCCTATTGGCTTTGTTTCTGTGCAGAAGGCTAACTAACATTGGTGGTATAGGAGGGAGACTTTCCTGAGGAGGCAGAGCATATGTGCCTTAGACAGGAAGAGGGGCTCCTTAGATAGATCTCTGGGATGGAGGGGAAACGAGGAGGCTTGGGGGTGCAGCGGGACTGCGGACATCTTCTCTGATGACTATTCTTTCTGGGATAAAGAAAGTGGGGTCACATCATGGCCTAAGGGGAGGCACTTTTTAAAGGACCGTGGGAAATCAGGGGCACTAGTGCTGAAAAGGGCCCCAGGGAGCATGGAGGTCCTGCTGAGGCTGAAGACCATGATCCACGATGTGCCCATCTGTAGGACCAGGAGGCCTGATGTGGGAGAGAACAGCAGGCTAAATCCAGGGTTGGTCTCTACAGCAGAGGGAATCGCAAGCCTGTCAGCAAGTGAAGAACCAGCACTGGCAAGAGTGTGGAGGCCTCTCATCAGAGTTCTCAATACCTGCCTACTCCCTTGGCATCAAAGGAGAACTAGAACAAAGATTTCCACTGAGAGGGAATGGCTGTGTTTATCCTCAGCATAGGCAAGATATTTCTCAGCTGTTTCTCTCACCCACAAACTGGGAAAGTTGTCTATAGGCTTCTTTTAATAATGCACGAGCAGAGGTGTGGAGAGCCAGAGACCATGAGGTTATGAAGCCAAGGAGAACCCAATCACACGAATCCATGGAGCTGGAAGTCCTTGGAAGCGAAGGCCAGAGAGATCTCACCAGCAAGATCCAGGCCTCGGGAATCTCAAGTCCATAGAATCAGGAATCATAGTTCCAATCCCTGAGCTTGAATCTGAAGGGTTATGAGGTAAAAACTGCCTGGAGACAGCAGTCGAGACAGCAGTCCCTGGAAGGGGTGTGTGGGGTGGCACTCCAGCCTCTCTGAAGCAGATCCCAGCAGGAAACAGCTGTCTGAGAGAGTCCCTGCTCTCTGACTGTGACCACCCTCCTCCATGCTCTGAGCCGGCTTATCTCCTGGGCTGAACGCCAGGCCTGTGTCCTCTCATTCGGAGTTGTCTTCATTCATCCTTGTTCTGGAGAGGCCTTGGAGCTTAGCTGGTGAGTGTCTGAGACTATGTGATCTGCATCTGTGCTGAGTGCCCCTCCAACTGCGAGGGGTGGTGGTGCGGGGTACAGGACACCTCCCCTCTTGCTGGCGTGGCTGATGGCAGCAAAGGCCAGCCAAAGTAGCAAAGAGGTGCTGGAATCTGCAGCTAAGACCCTTACTTTAAGGATTATAAATGAGTCCCAGATTACTTCTTTGAGATCAAGCTCTGAAAGATTGGTTGATACACAAATACAGCAAAATGGTGAAACAGTTTTCTACACAGGTTGGCATAAATGTGAATTCTGGCCCTTCCTTTCTCATCATATCTGACAATCTTGAGCAACTTCGCATTCACAATTGCTATTTATTGCATTTAGACTCAATGTAGAAGTTGTGAGTTATAGGTTGTGTCTAAGGGACATTTTTTTTTGGCCAAGTCTGGGGCTAGGCTTAGGGCTAGTAGCCCAGGGATTGGTTTGCATGTTCATTTGCTTAAAGGCAGTTACTTTATTTTTTTTGTTTTGTTTTGTTTTGTTTTTGAGACAGAGTCTCACTGTGTTGCCCAGACTGGAGTGCAGTGGCGAGATCTTGGCTCACTGCAAACTCTGCCTCCCAGACTCAAGCAATTCTTCTGCCTCAGCCTCCTAAGCAGCTGGGATTACAGGAGCCCACCACCACACCTGACTAATTTTTGTATTTTTAGTAAAGATAGGGTTTCACCATGTTGGCCAGGCTGGTCTCAAACTCTTGACCTCAAGTGTTCCTCCCGCCTCAGCCTCCCAAAGTGCTAGGATTATAGGCGTGAGCCATACCGCCCAGCTGCAGTTGCTTTTATGAGACTAGAGAGAAGGGAACAGTTTTATGCACAGGAATCTTTATGCACAGGTATGTGAAGAAAGAAATAACAGTGCATGTATTTGTTAGGACCCTTTGAGTTGCAAAAAAGCAAAAGCCAATTGAAGTGAGTTTTAGCAAATATTGAGAGCAATTGTATGGACTCCCTGAAGCACAAGGTCAAGGATGCAGCAAAACCTTAGGAATGATCTAGAATCAGGGCCTGGATGGGAGGCTGCCAAGACTCTGTCTCTTCCTTGCTGCTCCCTGTCCATCTGCTCTATTCTCTGTTCTATGCAAGCCAGCTTTCCTTATGCCTCAGGCCACAGGGTGAAAGGTAGAGGCCAACCAACAGCTCTTGGGTTTCTTATTATAGGTTTAGTCCACGAGCTCCAGCTTAGAAACAAAAGTGAAAAGAAGAGAGTGTCTTTCTCCGCAGGTTCTGGGAATCTGTCCTCCTGCATGGGTCCCATGTCACTTCTTGGCCAGTCTTCATTGTCACGGGGAGAAAATACTTTGACTGGCCAGGCCTGGTTCCTCCCAGATCACAGGGTTTCTTAACAGAGGAAATAACATGCAGAAGCTTGTTGAAGAGAGAAAGATAAAGCACAGATGCCACAGCCCACTGTAGGGCGATTTCCTTCACTGGTCCTCCCACCCCCATTGGCTTAGCCCAGCTCTGATACTCCAGAGCTCAAGCCACCCAAAGGACAGCTTCACACAGAGGAGCAGTTTTCCCAGACAGCCCCGGGCAGTGGTGAAATGTCTCAAGGAGGAAGCCAGAGTTGAAAAATACAAGTGAGCCTGTCCTTGAACTTATGTGAGACATTACCATGGGACCCCAGACAAAACCATGGGGACCCTGGGTGGAGGTGAACCCCTGTGTTTCACAGTCAAGCCATTAACATCACTAGATGTCACTTTTTATCCACAAAGTCATCAGACTTAGGGACACTAGGTTACTGTATAGGTGAGTGATCCCTTATGAGCCATCTAAGTTTTTTTCTAAATTTTTACCATAACAAATAACTCTGCAGCCAGTATTAGCTTACAATTAGATCTTCTTGACTTATTACCATTTGTGAAAGATGAAAGTGAGAAAACCCAAAACAAAAACAAAAACAAACAATAGATAATAAAGCCTCTGGGTAATGAAGCAAGTCTTAGCCAGAAATCTTTTGGTTGCAAGCAACAGAAACTCAAGTCAAGCCAATTTAAACAAAGGGGATATTTACTGATTCCAAAAACTAGGAGTTCATGGAATGGAATTGTTCTCCAGCATGACTGGACACAGGAACTCAGTAATAATCTCTCTCTGTGCCTGTTTCTCAGCTGTGCTATTCTTGGGATGTTAGGCTTATTCCTATTGCAAGAGATGAGCTTCTTCTCTGTGGATTTAGGGGTTTCGGAGAGGAGGGTATGACTATGATCACAGACAGGTTCTAGTTTACATCATTCACTCTCAACAAAAAGCAACCTTCTCTCTTCTAGTGCCAGACTCTTCTCCTAGAAGAGTCTGATTGCTCTTACTAGAGTGACATTCCCGATCCATGTGCTCATCACTGCAGCTCAGGGGCACCTACCCTCTGGCCAGAGTTAGGGGATCCTAACAGATTCATGTGGAATGGAAGAGGGTTAGTTCTGAAACAAAAGAAGGGAGCTGTTACCAAATAAGGTTAGTAAGAGCTCTTGGCAGTTCAAAAGAAAAGACATGCAAGAGTCAAGTTCCTATGCTGGCCAACAGTGTGTCCTGCTGCAAGGGGTTCTGTGCCAGGACAAACAGGAAGTTTTCTCCTGAAAAACAGAAATGAAACCCATTTCTGTACATCGTGGCACACAGTATAAACCACACTAAGGTGTGGCCTCTGGGAGGTGTGTATGGGGATGTCTTTTTGTCTCATGGTCAGAATAAATACAATGAAGGACCCACCCCTTCTTTGAAAGATGGCATTATTTTTTGGGAACACCCAAAACCTTTTGGTGGCTGCCAATCCTTTTCAAAATTGAAATCTAACTTCGTTATGTGCAATTGCATCATGATGCTGAGGAAAGAGCTTGCTTTGGGTCAGATGAACCAGTCTGGACTGCTGCTGTGTGACCTGAGGCAAGCTACTTTGAACTTCCAGAGAGAAGCTTGGCAGCATGGTATCATGTCAGAGTCCTGGCCCCTGAAGTCACTCTGTCTTCACCACTTCCCAGCCGCCTGCCCTTCAGCACGTTTCTAAATGGTTCTGTGCCTTAATTTCCTCATGCATAAAATAGGGATGATGATAACAACTTTCACAAGGTTGTTTAGTGGAATAAATAAGACAATGAATGTCAAATGCTTGGAACGGTGTTTGGCACATAGTAAGTTCTCAATAAAATGTTAGCTGTTGTTATTATTGCTAGTATCTTTGACTGCTCAATATCTAGTAGAGTACCTGATCCAGAATAAAATATATGGTGAATGAACCAATGGACTGAACCCTTTATGACCTAATTTTCCTAATCTATAAAATGTGACTATTACTCATCAAACATGCTGTTGTGATGATTAAGTGAGATAGTGTATGGAAAGCCTCTAGCACAATGCCTGTCTTAACAATAGGCAAGTTCTGTTGGTTCCTTTCTGTTTTCTCCATTCCCCTATCCCCAAAATTCAAGGTCCTCCATATTTTTTCATGCCAAGCCTCTCTGAGTTGCGAAGTGCCAAAACCTAACTCAAGTTGGCTTACACTTACACTATAGGCTCAAGAAATAGAAAAGTCCTAGGTCTAGCTGAATCCA